GACAAAAGTATTCGTACACTTAATTATTGCTACAATTATTTTAGCAGGAATTTTATAAATTAATATTTTGTATGATAACCCTTCCAGCGAATCACTTCACGCAATATATCGGGCATTGACAACACCAAACTTTTAACGAAGTCAGGTTCTACTACACTATTCTCTTTTTAATATTTCTTTCAAGTGTTCTTTCGACGTTATATCATTTCGCACATTTTTTTCTAGTTTCCATACATGTTCGATAGGATTTAAGTGAAGCAATTGTGGAGGAGTTGCTAACCTGTGGGGAGTATTGGTATTAACCACTGACGCACTATACATATAGGCTGTATGTTTCGCGTCACAGTCTTGCTGAAAATAAAATTCATCTAATTCATAAATCTAATTCATTCTAATTCATCTGCACTATTTTGTAAATTTTCTTTTAAAATATTTAAATATAAATGTTTATCCATTATTTTATCTATTATTACTAAATTGCTGCCTCCAGAAGCAGCAATACATCCCCACACCATCACACTTCCATCTCCGTCTTTCGTCGTTGGTTGCATATTTTTGAAATCTAATTCAGTATTAGCTTTCCGCCATACTGTTTTACTACCGACTCAAAAATAATAAAATTGACTCGTCGGAAAATCCTACGTTTTTCCAGAATTCGTCGCTAGCATTTATGTATTGTTTTGCAAATTCTAATCTCTTTTGTTAGTTTACTTATGAGTAGTTTCTTCCTTGCGACTCTACTGTTATATCTAGCCCGATACAGCACTATATATGAACATTATTTTGCCTAAAATCCCATATTCTCACAACGAACTCGAGCAACCATCTTGGAAGTGAAAATCCGATCATTCGCACAGACGTTTCGACATCTGATCATTTCTAACGCGTTTTCGCACGTCACCAACTGCCGGAAGTTTCGATACTCGTCCTTCGTAAAAGCCACGACAACACCGAGCAATCCGCCAGGCAATAAAATCGGCGACAAGCCGTGAATTCGTGACACGACGACCGTAAAGGGATTTATGCCCATGTTTCAGAGGAACAGGCAAAGAGCTCTATGAACGATAATGTCGGTCTGGTGTTCGCTGCTGCACCTTAAGATCCTGTAAATGCCGCGTAAATGCTGTAATATAAATAGATTGCAATAAATAGATAGCGGAAGACGGTAACTACTAGCCGCTGATAATGATCGGCTTCCAGACGATCCCGGGTTATAATCATAGTGAACTGCGTATGAATCAGGAGCACATTTATCATGGATATTTATACGGTTCAAATTATCTCGCTCGTTTTTTGTCATTAAACTAGTATTGAGTTATTTTCACATACACCTGTTCGACATGGACTTCTCGCGGGTCGGTAATATTGGAGATGAGTAGCGTGATACTATGATTCAGTTGCATTAATACGCGAAATGAATATCTATTTATAAATCTTAAAGAAACAAAATGCTGTTCTCGTAGCGAAACAGACTTTGAAGTATTAATAGAATTTCCTATAAAATTACATATAAAATAATGTTACACATGAAGTTGAAGTGTTAATAATATTTCCAGTGTTAATAAAATTTGAAATATCGATAGAATTTCATATAAAATTATTTAAAAAAAGGGGTTAAACGTGAAGTTAAAATATTAACAAAATCCAGAATGTTAATCAAGTTTGGAATAATAATAGAATTTCATACAAAATTATTTAAAAAAAGGGGTTAAACGTGAAGTTAAAATATTAACAAAATCCAGAATGTTAATCAAGTTTAGAATAATAATAGAATTTCATGCAAAATTATATATAAAATGGGGTAAACGTGAAGCTAAAATATTTACAAAACCTAGAATATTAATCAAGATTGAAATGGTAATAAACTGTCCTACAAAATTTTCAAATGTAAAAGATGTTAAGAAAACTCCAAACGTTAATAAAATATGAAATATTGAATATAAAACTATAAAACGTTTATTAGAATTACTAAACTTCTTTATATGTTAAAATAATATAAAAACGTGTTTTTTAGAATATTCACATCAAGTGATAAAACATAAAACTTTTCTAAAATCATTAAAAATGTTTAGACATCTAAATAAAATCAAAATGTTAACCGAACGAGTGCAAAACAAGGTTATATCCAAACGACGTTTCCGTCCAATTCACATGAACGCAAGTGAACGTCCATTTTACAGAGCAGAGTTCTTAATAACGCAGGAACAAGTTTATAAATAAAGTCAACGTTTATTGCGTTAATGTTGAAACAAGAAAGGTATAATAAAATTATAAACGCAGCAGGATCGTGTAGAGACGAGGACATGAAGGCTGCACAATAACGTATTGCGTTATCGACAGACAGGGACTGCCATCGTTTCGAAAATGAAAGAATCTCGATGGCTTTTTTCCTGCTTTTGTTCGCGCATCGATTCCGTGGAGCATTCGTGCCACGACAACTATTTTCTGAATCGTCACTAAAGCGGTCTGTTTGCTTGTTCTCTGTGTGCCGGTATAAGATCCGGTATCGAGAGAGAAAGCAGAGAGTGGAAAAAGAGTTGAAAAAAGGAGAAAGATCAGGAAGCCAAAGATCCTGGCACAAAGGATAGACGGCAAAGAAATTGCATCTCATGCTAAATCTCGGGCGTCGATGCAACCGCCTAATCAATCTTCAATCTGCGCGATTGATTCTCTTCCCTTTTTGTCAACGACTGATCTTGACGTTGGGAAAAGGAAAAATACGCGAGTATGACTGTATTTTTTTAATTCGATGAATATTGGTTAAGGATCGATTATTGGGGAAATATTAGTTTACGATTGAATATTGATAATTATTTGTTGTGGACCGAATATTGATTGAGGATCAATTATTGGAGAATATAGGTGAATATTGGTTATCGATCGAATTTTGGGGAAATATTAGTTAACGATTGAATATTGGTAAATATTGGTTATCGACTGAATATTGGTTAATGATCGATTATTGGAGAATATTGGTGAATATTGGTTACCGATCGAATTTTGGGGAAATATTAGTTAACGATCGAATGTTGATGAATATTGGTTATCGACCGAATATTGGTAAACGATCGAATATTGGGGAAATATTAGTTAATGATTAAATGTTGGTAAATATTGATTATCGACTGAATATTGGTTGACGATCGATTATTGGAGAATATTGGTGAATATTGGTTATCGATTAAATATTGGGGAAATATTAGTTGACGATTGAGTACTGATGAATATTGGTTATCGACCGAATGTATTGGTAAACGATCGAATATTGGGGAAATATTAGTTAATGATTGAATATTGTAAATATTGGTTATCGACTGAATATTGGTTAACGATCGATTATTGGAGAATATTGGTGAATATTGGTTATCGATCGAATATTGGGGAAATATTAGTCAACGATCGAATATTGATGAATATTGGTCATCGATCAAATATTGGGAAAATATTTGTTAACGATCAAATATTGATGAATATTGGTTATCGATCGAATATTGGTAAACGATCAAATATTGGGGAAATATTAGTTAACGATTGAATATTAGTAAATATTGGTTATCGACTAAATATTGGTTGACGATCGATTATTGGAGAATATTGGTGAATATTGGTTATCGACCGAATATTGGGGAAATATTAGTTAACGATTGAGTACTGATGAATATTGGTTATCGATCGAGTATTGCCACAATATTAACCACAAAATTTTTGAACGTCACGTCCAATTAATTTTAATTAACATTATAATTAATAAATGATGAGCTGTCAATATAAAACATTTTTCTAAACTGCAAAATTTATAGAAATAATGCAAACTCACCGTGCTGTCTTCTCGCCTTCATAACCCTGAAAGCTTCGATGTTCGTCCAAATAGTTAAAAAGGTTCTCCAACTCGTTGAGCTGTTCGTTTCTTATAGCTGTTGCTTCTTTCAGGATCTGTGAAATAAGAGAATGCTTTGGAAATCATCATAATTTATATATTACTAAAAATAAGCAGGATGTATTTAAATATTCAATAAACATTTATTTACTTTAAAATAAAGTTCAAACTTTTGTTCATTAATTTAACTGAATCTCAGTGAAAACTCTGTAATAAAAATTGATTTATTTGAAAGCAAAGTTCAGCATATCCTTTGAGTTAAATTTACTAACTTCAGTAAAAATATTTAACAAATATTTTTTTATTCCAAAATCGAATTTAATATTCTTTTTAACAAGTTCAATTTACTAACTTTAATAAAACTCTTCAATAAATATTTATATATTTCAAAACTGAATTTAATATTTCTTTTAACAAGTTCAATTTACTAAACATAATAAAATTCTTCAAATACTTATTCCTTTCAAAACAGAGTTCAACATATTGTTCCTCAATAACTTTAATTTTCAACAACCTTAAGTTAGGAATCTTACAGATTACAATTGAATAGTAATTTATTTGTTTTTGCTTAAAAAACATACACGCGTTTCATTTCCATCACTGACTCTCTTATACGATTTCCGCACAAATTGCACGAGAAATGCAGAAAATAACAAATAGGTTCCTGTAGGAGTTCGCGTAAAGACAGCATAAATTTGCGGTGTGTTGCGACGATGGCACACGTTATGCACATATGCCATGCATAAAAATGGCATCCATGATACGCGACGTGATTTACATAAATATAATACCTCTACTTCCCATTACATCACTATGGCGATGTAAGGAATCTCTCTTTTCTAGTGGGTTTTCCGGAAGCCGCAAGGACGAGACGAATAAAAACTATACAAAAATGTATCGTCAACGATAGAAATAAATTCAAGGATTCACGCGTAACACGTGCCTTGTCCTTCGATCGTTCGCTCCATTTTTTTTCTGCCTCGGTGTTAATCTTGGAGTAATTATACAAAATTCTGTTATGACTTGAATTTATTAAATTTCATCTATTCAGAATATTAATACAGTTTTGGGTTCTATTTATGTTTCAGTGGATGTTATCTACAATTGGTAAATTTTATTTACATTTTGTGTTAAAGTTAATCTTAATATTTACTCAGTGTATATGTTTATTGTATGTGCAAAGTTAACCCTAATATTTACTCAGTACATAATATGTGGTCATATGCACCATATGTGATTAACCTTAATATTTACTCGGCACATATGTGACCATATGCACCATGTGTGATTAACCTTAATATTTACTCAGCACATAATTTGGTACACGTGCTAATTTTAACCTTCATATATACTCAGCACATAATTTACTGTATGGTCTAAGATTAACCTTGATATCTACTCAGCACATATGTGACCATACGCACCATATGTGATTAACCTTAATATTTATTCAGCACATAATTTGCTACACGTGCTGGTTTTAACCCTCATATATACTCAGCACATAATTTACTGTATGATCTAAGATTAACCTTGATATCTACTCAGCACATATGTGACCATATGCACCAAATGTGATTAACCTTAATATTTACTCGGCACATATGTGACCATATGCACCATGTGTGATTAACCTTAATATGTACTCAGCACATAATTTGCCACATGTGCTAGTTTTAACCTTCATATATACTTAACACATAATTTACTGTATGGTTTAAGATTAACATTGATATCTACTCAGCACATATGTGACCATATGCACCAAATGTGATTAACCTTAATATTTACTCAGCACATAATTTGCTACACGTGCTAGTTTTAACCTTCATATATACTCAGCACATAATTTACTGTATGGTCTAAGATTAACCTTGATATCTACTCAGCACATATGTGACCATATGCACCATGTGTGATTAACCTTAATATGTACTCAGCACATAATTTGCCACATGTGCTAGGTTTAACCTTCATATATACTCAGTACATAATTTACTGTATGGTTTAAGATTAACATTGATATCTACTCAGCACATATGTGACCATATGCACCATATGTGATAAATATTAACTCACCACATATATTTACTAAATGTGCCACAATTAACCTCAACCTTTAAAAGAACCTAGACCGCTAAATAAAATATTGCTGCACCCAAGGAAAAGAAATTTATGTAAATCAAGTTTGAAAAAAAGCACATTAAAGTAAGTTTCTCTCTCAAAAGCAGCCCACTTCACATGCTTACAATTACAGAAATGATTACCGGTCTCGCTGTCCAGGCATATTACTCTAGTAGGGAACAGATTGGACGCGTCACGAGATTGCAGGTAGAGGGGCAGCATCGAAGTAGAGGGACGAAAAAAAATATCGGAGGTAGCGTCCCTCGAAAATAAAATCGGTTTTCCGATAACTGGTTATTTGCTCGCACAAGTGGCTCGCTGACTGGGCGAGCACATCGGAAGCGGTTTTCGCGTGTAATATTATCGAGTTATCGATAGGAGAGGAGGGCATTGATCGGTTGCCGGAGGGACAAGGGAGAACTAGACGGGAGGAAGAGACAGCTAGAGAGGGTGGAGGAGGAGATGGAGTAGGTGGATAGGATGCGAAGGATAGGGTGGGTGGAGAGGACTAGGAGAACGTGCATTGCACGGGCACAATATATCCGCGTGATTACAATATGTCGGGGCTCGAGAGACCAATATCAACCTGAAGTCGGCTCAGCCAATGCTAATAATCCCTATTGTTGGTGCCTCTACTCGACTGCCTCTCGCGATCGGATACATCTTGTTTCGAAATTTCGAATTGCCTCGTCGTGCTTTTACCCTCCGTCGCGAAATTTTTTCGATACCCGGTTTTGCGTATGGGGAAATCTTCTTGGCTTTGTAATATGACGTCGCCTCATACATTCAAACATATTATCCTGTATGAAAATCTTTTTATTTCTCATTTTGAATGACCTTTTACTGAAGATCGCCACATGTGTTTTAATCGAACTTGTTATGGAAAGCTTTCTTTGTAAAAATTTTTTTTTGAAGAATTCAAATATTTCTGGGTAATTCGAAAGGTAGTTCTAAAGTAATTCTAAAGGGGTAATTGTTTTAAGGTAGTCATTTGTTGTGAACATATGCAGGTTTATTTTTGTAGACGGTTCTAGGATTTCTGAGAGGGTAAGAGGAACATTAGTTTCAATTAGCTGGAAATGTGTCCATAAATCTACTGTTACTGTTATATGAAGTTGCAATTTATGTGTTGCGTAATAACGAGACAAGAGTAGACATTGTAGAAGTGTAGATTAATAATACATAATAACTAGAGCATGAAGTTTGAAAGTTGTAATTTCGCTTTCAATTAAAATTTTCAACCTTGAAAGGGAGATTTTAGAATTATCTCAAGAGTAATTATGAAGAATTCGATAAATCTTGCTTCAGTTCATATGCAAATTTTGTTTATAGTTAACAAGGTTGTATTATTTTACCGATGAAATAATACAAGTTTTCTACCTTAGTAGAACAAACTCGAAATAGGATTTCAATATTTCACTTCGACAATTAATAATAATAAAGAACATGCAGAATTTTGAGAGGAGATAACCGACAAAAGAAATAAGAATTGTCCTCGATGCGTGTGCCTGGTGCCAACAGGCCAAGCCGCCTTTCACACGTCCCACACGAAAGACGAAGCTCGGTCTCTTTCAAAACAATTACGCATTCTTCACCGCCTGTTCTCCCACGTCTACATTATCGTCTTGCTGCAATGCTCTCCTGGGCTTGCCTACACCATTTTCAGAAAAGACCACGAGAAACCTGACATTTAGAACAGATCATTTTTGATCGCTTATTTATAGTCGCTTGATAAATTCTGTGTAAAACTCGGAACAATTACTTGTGACAACTGAGCAAAGGCTGGTTATGAGAATTTTATAACAATGTTGTGAGTAATTGATAACGTGTTGCAACAATGTTGTGACTGGTTGACAATAATGTTATGACAATGTTACAACTAATTAGCAACAATGCTACTAATTTTTATGAAATTCAACACAGATTTCAAGACATCTTTAACAGATCGTATACTTGCACTTTTAACTGCAAATTTGTGTTTCAATATTATGTACTTGCATTTTTCACTATATGGTTTCCCTTCAAATCACGTCGGGGTCACCACAAAATGTGTTTTGCCATTGCCCTCCTGATCCCTGTCCCTTGCGCCCGTGGGTCGATCGTAACCACTATACATATACGTATTTTTTATTGTATACCTGTATTTTTAACTGCACATTTGCATTTCTAATTTTATACCTACATTTTTAATTGTACATTTGTATTTTTAATTGTATATCTTTGTGATTCTAGGTGCTAACAAAAAATATGGACTTGGCTAACATAGTCTACACCCTGGTTGAGAGATTATTCTGTGAGTACAAAATTATACACATTATTATATTCGTTTATACATACATATAGATGTATACATATAGATTATACATACATATATGTAGATGTATACATATAGATTATACATACATCATAGTTACAACATATTATATTATATCCTGTGTAATTATTCAATATAACACCTTCTGCCATCAACAAGATAATCGAGATCAAAATAAATAGCACATGTATGCAAACATAATGTGCGAATTTATGCAGAAAGTAAGAATTAAATAATCATATCAAAACGAATAAATACGCATATTTAAAAAAAATGAAATTCTTCAGGAGCAACTGAAACGATGTCGATCGCATCGTTCGCATAATTAATAACGATTAATTAAGCCTATCTGGTTTCCCGGCCGGTATTTAAAGGTGGACGGGGATTTAATTGGAGTCCTGTATCTCGAAGACGCGGCAAGTCTGTCGGTAATTTAAATCGAATCGATACCAAATCGACCGCTACTGGTCACCATACGTACCTCGATAACGGAGGTTCGATGTTTATCGTCGCAACATACGGTTCGATAAGGTCTGCATCGTCTTATTAATCATTGTTGAACCTGATAGCGATCCTGCGCCGTGAGGCGTGTTCAATTAGCTCCACGTAAAAGACGAC